TCCTTATTGTCAAGTTGATTAGTCTTGTTAACGACTCCCTCCTGATCTGTTGTGATTCCAGGATATCCTCTTCTCGGTCCATGATTTCCAGCAGGGCCGTTTGCGCATATTCTCTAGAGATATTTGTATACATGGATTTCACATCGAAACTTACCAACAAGTCCGTTTCTTCCAGTGCCATGTTTTTGACTTTTTTGAAAAAATTTATATGAATGCTTCACTGTTTTTGATAGCCTCTCATCTAATTTCTTGAGTTTCAAACATATAAACTTTGCCAATTTGTGCGTGCATCCAATTAGGTCGTCCTGACAGCACGATCAAGTTGCGAAAACGAGGTCAGACCACTTCTATACATCGAAAGAAAACTGCCACAAAAATAGAGGCCACAACATTTTGGTTTTCATATCTATATTTATCAAATTGAAGCTATTTAACCTCGTTTTTACTCATTTGGTCGTATTCTCAGGCTCTTCATACCTTTGATTATCGACGTGAATCTATAGCCTACCATGACAGTATTAATATCTGTTTCTTCTAAATCTCTACCACTTTCTTCAGGTTTGATCGAGATTTATCCCTTGAATCGCACCACTTTTGTGGACGCTACCCAGGTGAACTTGTCCATAATTCCGGACCCCGGCAACCTGGTGCATGAGCATCACTGGCTAGTCGTTAAATGGGCCCAGGTTGGACATATCATTTCTAATCTCTCATTGGGAAAATCAGGTGAGGCCAATTGGCAGCTGATATCCCGCAATGATTGGATGGCAGCGGTGTCTGAAGAAAGTGGATTTGCCGATTCTGGACTGAACAAGTCAGCAACCGCTATTATTGGAAGAGCCGGACAGCCTACATATAATCCAAAATATTACTTTGACCTACCGGGAAACAATTTGATCCAGAACAAAGTGAATTCGATTGATGGAGACATCCGACTAGCACGACGACTCGAGTTCGTGGATGTAGGGACTCGATTCCAATTCTGGTGGAGGCGAGTATCCACCTGGCCGCAAAAGAGTGATCCATCTAACTTGCCAGTTGCCATGGCCTATACTCTGGTGAGAGAACTATAGTGACCACAGCTTTAAGACCGATGTATAGAAAACCCAGTCTGTTTGTTGCTTGATAAACAGTGCATTAGCTTCTCAGATTTGGCAGTCATCCATATGAGAAAGTGTCTAGTAGAAATATTCTTTAGAAATATCACACATCAGACTATCTATCTAATCTAATTCCTCTTTCTAAATTAAAATGACGACCCACAAGTAGTGACCTGGATAATCTGGATTCCAAAGTCCCCCAGTATATTATGATTCGCTGATACAAGAACCGAAAATGTAAGACAACAGGTAAATGTGCTTTAGTGTGCCAGACAAAAATTGGCCAAGTCTTGGTAGCGTTACGGCCACATCAATACTCCATGAATAATATAAAGCAGACTCCTGAAATATGAGGATTTGGAAAGCTACAGATAAAGATATGGGAAAGTCTGAGTACATAAAAGGATGAGGCAGTCAGTATCACTAAGGCTTGAGGCTCAGGAAGTTGCCACATCGAAGCTCATGCTGAAGCTCAGACATAAAATGGTTCCTTTAGATATTCCCTTTTTTGTCCAGACTACTACTTATGGGGGGGAGTCCTATATGAGTGTGTCTGTGTGTGTTCATATGTTCGTGTCAGCCTGTGCAATGGAGTGTATTGAGGTTGTCAGTTCTTGGAGGAATTAGAATAGGGAATAAAGCAGTAAAAAATTTGCGGAAGTAGAGCCAATACATAAGTGGTATTAGGAGTGATTTACACAAGCATGCCCTAAGATAGGAAAGGTGTCATGATACATCAAAAGGCAGGCAAGCCACGAGTTTGGGAATGGAGACGAGAAAAGCATCGCTCATGGACGGTTAGACTACCCGGGGTTACTCGCAACTAAGAGCCCAGAGGTGTTAAGGCCATTTGTGTTATTAAACTGCAAGCTTCTCCTTTAAATAGATTTAAAAATCCCTATTTCTGAGTATGACGAAATATACTAGTAGGGGATTGTTGAGTTTCGACATAAAACAGGACAGGAGAAACATTAGGTCCGGAATACAACAAGCAATGATTTTGCTTATATCGAGTTATGCTGACGAGAAATATATTTGGTCAGTTTGACAAAGTTTAACCGGTCTTTCTAAGGCTAATTTTAGTATGTTGTGTCTAGGGAAGAAAGGACAATATGGCCGATTCCAGTAAAATAGCACTATTTTCTTGACTAATTGACCTTATAATGTCGCATTGAATGAGAATTTCGTCTCCCGCTGATAACTACCGGATCATGGCTGCCCCTTCATGACGTATTGTATGCTAATTGTGCTCTTTTTTTCTGCTATTTGGTATCCATTCTTGGTTGTATCTATTTGTTTTGGCTTCATGATGAATAGGTATTTATTGAATGCTTAAAATATTACTATATTTTTTAACATTTTTAACATCGAGCATAGTGCTGACTGCAAATTTACTTTATTGACTCTAGACCTTAATTCTTTTAAATATCTTATGCAAAAGAAGTAAATTTCATTGGAAAAATGCTTTTGGCTCTGGAGAAAACGACATCAGCCTTTGTCTGTCCTACAACTTGAGCAAAGTCATCCAATCTGGATCTCAGTCTTATAAAAAATGTCAATTAAATCTAAGTCAAGATGACTCCTCCTCTATTAGCTATATTATCATTTTCTTTGACTAATTACTATCCTGCAGTTTTTAAAGACTGACATCTAGTACTGCAGATGTCTGTCAATTAAAATGCTGAACTAAAACTCAGCAAGTCTTCCCCGAAACCAAGAGATCATGCCTCATAGATTACGTCAACCTGAATGCTATAGCAATAGCGAAATATGGCAGATTAACAGGCAACAATTGTTGTTTTCTTATAAGATTAGCCAACGCTAACTTTATCATGCACTTTAGAAGAGAATTAAGGTCACCAGTGTTGCCTCAAAGGATACATTTTACTTTTTTTAGCCAGTTTTGTTACAAAAACGTTATTTTCATTATAAGAAGGTTTCAAGACTATCAGTAATTCTTAGTCATCCTAGGTTGCTTAACGTGATTTAAAGACAAAATATTGAGTTTTCCTACAATGCGATGAGTAGGCCTCATGATGCCATTGAATTTCTGTTATCGCCTCCTTATCGAGGTTAGACTGGACTGAGATTTTGACCTCGCTTCACCACTTAATCTACACCCAAAAAGCGATTCAGTCCTAGAATCGCTATTAGTAGTATAAATATAAATCCTTAACTCATCTAAAGCAGACATACGTATGCTTCATCGGCACTCCCACCGAAGTATATGATACAGCAGAGTGCTGACCGTCCTTAGAATTCACTTATGCCCTGTGACTCAAGGTTACTCGTGGCAGTGTAGCCGAGTGGTTAGCGTGTCAAGCTA